ATATATGAATTTTTCATGTAATTTTCATGACAAACGAGGCAAACTTGAGATCATTTAGTTAACAAGCGAACATGAAATTGTTTGATTAACGAGCTGATTTCAACTTGGTTCAATAAGGCTCGAGTGCATTGCTAATTTAACGTTCCTCTAATAATAACCAAAAAAATCTACTTTCACTCCAACAGTCCCACGCACCACTAGACATGGCTAAAACTTGGACTGGGTCACGACCAGGCCGGGCCTCCGGGTTGTGTTTCATGGACTCTGAACGGGCACGGATCTATGCTCGTGTCGGGTCCATGACCCGGTTAACTAGACCGGGTCAGGCGGAGTCCATGGCGAGTCAAGGTCGGGTCATCGTTTTTTAAAGAAAAAATAATAATAATATTAAGAAAAACAAGTCGGCCCGTTCCGCCGGGCAAGGGTCATGGAATAATGACCCTGAAACGGCCCGTCCAAAATCCGGTCTAGGCGCAGACCAGTGGTCAACGGGTTTGATCGTGCTGGGTCAGGGCCAGGCAGCCCGTGGCCACGTCTACACACCACCAGGAACTGACTTGAAGAATTATTATTGCTTGCAGATTAATAAAAGTAGTAGAAATACTCTATTCAGGCAATATCTTTGTTCCTTGGAGAATTATTATTGCTTGCAGTTTAAAAAAAAAAATAGTAGAAATACTCTATTCAGACAATATCCTTTATTAGTATGTCAAAAGATGACTACTTTAATAAATTATATTTGAAAATTGAATGTAGATAAAAAATATCAACTTTTAAAATAAGATTAAAAAATAAAGAGTTTAATAAAATAAAATAAACGAGAATAAATAATATCAGTTTTGTATGGTAAAATTTGATTTGGGAAAGAGAAAAATGAGACGAAAATAAATGTCTACTTATCAAAATTACAAATAAAATATTTACGTCAAATATCAACTATGTTAAATAGTGCATATTCTAAAAATATATAAAAAACCTAGACCAAAATTATCGTTTTATTATTGATTTATTTAGGCAAGCTAATATTCGATCTTGTGCACATGCACATGTTAAAATATAAATTTATATGTTATGTGTGCGTGTGTGTTGAAATCATAAGTTAAATAATGAGCATATCATATTATATAAATTTTATCATTAGTAAAAATGAATGATACAAATATAAACTATGAACTTGCATATTAATTTTTATATCAATTGTAATAATATCATTTTTGCAATCTTTGTTTATTTATAAACAATTGATTAGGTAAAACAATTTTGAGATCATTATTATTATTATAGCAATTGGGTACAAAAAATTTAACAGGCTTGGTTATATCATATAAAATGATTAACTAATATTAATAAAAAAAACTTGCTTATTGGGTTAAAATAAAATAAAAAAATAAATAATAATTTCAAATAAATAGTTTGAAAAAAAAAGTTTTAGATTAGAATAAGTGTGACTTTATGATTTGTTAGTAGTAGTTGTTATATAATAAAAAAAATATATATATAATATCTTCATTGATACAAAAGTAACGTCTTTTAGAAGAAAATCAAAATATATATTTTTATTAATACCTTTGCTAGCAATTATATATATATATATATATATAGATAAAACATAAAATATGAAAAAAGATAATTTTCATAATTTTGTAAGAAGCATAACATTTTTACTATTGGATAATTTTAGGTGTGTGTCGACAACACTACGGGTTGATGCAAAACCACATTGAACTACAAAAACAAAACACATAGTAAAATAACATTATCGTAACATAGGAGTGCACGGGAACATATAGACTATTTTCTATACAAAAAAATTGAACCGAACCGCAACAAAATGCATGAGTCGACTCATTTTTCAATTATTGTCTATATGTTGCTATACATTTATTTCAATTTAGTGTGGTAATGCAAAAATGCACCAATCGAGAAAATTTAAAAAATAAATGTGTGAAAATAAAAACTGCTTTGCATTGTAGTATAAGAGGAAACAAAATCAATTTTTGTTTGTATTAGAAAAATCGAACCGAATCACACCTAGGGGTGTGCAAAATTCGATTAAAATCGACCGAACCGAATATTTCAGTTCGGTTTTTGTCAGAGCAGACGGTAATCGATTTTCATTTGCTATTGTTCGGTTATTTCGTTCGGTGTCGATTTTCGAACATAAAATGTCCGAAATGACCAAACCGAATATATTATTATATTTATATTATATGTTATAATATATAGAATATAGAATATAGGACAATGCTACACGTACCGCAGCTTGTACCGCAGAGTTTACACTTTGGTTAAAAAACGTATTCTCAGAATACGTTTTTCAAATAATTTAATTGAAAAACGTATTCTCAGAATACGTTTTCAATGAAGGGTACACCATGCGGTACAACCCCTGCGGTACAAATAGCATTTTCCTAGAATATAACATAAGTCATAAATCATAACCATACAGAAGTCACCAACTCCTCCTCCGCATTTCAGAAACCCTTCCCAAAACCTCCGCCGCCTTCCGCTGCTCCTCCGCCGCTGCTCCCTTTCCCAAATCGCCCGTCGGTCTCCACTCTCCATCTCCCTTTCCCAAATCACCTCTCAGGCAGGGAGATAGAATTATTATGTAACTTTATAACATCTTCATCGGAAAAGGGCAGTCGGTGAAAAAAGAAAAAAGAGAAAATCAAGTAGAAAAGGAAAAAGTTGAAAAATTGAAGGAAGAGCAGAATGAAGATCGAAGAAGTTCAGTCGACCACGAAGAAGCAGAGGATAGCCACTCATACTCACATTAAAGGCCTCGGCCTTGAGGTAACTTACAATATATTATTTTATTGGCTATTTTAATCATCTTGTTCGTGTTTTGATGCGTAAAGACTAATTTTTTTTTTTTGTGTTTTAGAACCTATATTTATTATTATTTTTAGCTAGTAACTCGTAGTGTTCTAAAAATTAGACCTTTTGAGTTTGGTGTTTATGGGGTTTAAGAACTAGGGTTTTGCTGTTTTTGAGTAATTGCTGAAGATATAATTTTTTGGGAGTATGTCATCAACATTTCATTGTGTGGTCATAGTGTTTATTGTTTGTTGTCGAATATGCATTTATAAGTTGAAAAACAAGAGGAAACTGGAAAAGTAGAAAACAGAAAATTAGTGTTAAAGATTAGATTTTTATCATTTGTGTGGTTATACTCTAACGTAGCAAATCTAATGATCTTTCTATCAACTGATTTGGGCTTGAATACTGATGGCTATTATGTTTGAAGCCGAATGGAAAAGCAGTACCTTTGGCTGCTGGATTTGTGGGTCAAGCTTCAGCGAGAGAAGCTTCTGGGCTTGTGGTTGATATGATTCGGCAGAAGAAGATGGCTGGGCGTGCCTTATTATTTGCTGGCCCACCTGGTACTGGAAAAACTGCTCTTGCTCTTGGAATTTCGCAAGAACTAGGCAGCAAGGTAATACTATCAGCAAAATCCAAACTTTTTGAAAATGGATTATGAGAAGGAGTTTGTTTTAAAATTCATGGTATTGATAATGAATTATGAGAATAAGTTGATTTTACAATTCACTGCACTTGTTGATAAGTTGTAAAATGTGCTTTTCCAATAGACTTGCATCATTGTAGTTTTCTAAAGCTTGTCTTCATATGGATTTATTCAAATGTATTGGAAAATTTTCTGGCTGTGTTTCCAAAATTCTGTTCTGTGAAACAGCATAAACTGGAATTGTTTCAATTTTCATCAACTACTCACTAGACAAAGGTGATTTAAAATTTCGGAGCGCAGTTTGGCATTGGAAACTCTTCATCATCATCAAAAATTCTTTATGTACCCTTAATCTTATCCTGTAAAGGTCAATGTACATAATTTGGCTACAAGTTCTTGAGATCTATAGTTTTCTTACCTTTTTTTTTGCAGCTAGATTCTTATCTTAACTTGCTATTGGTACCAACTTTTATTACTGGTGTTTAAGTTTTCTGATGTTAGTTGGTAGCCTACAAACTTATGTGCCTTGAATTAACGGTTCAGGTTCCATTTTGCCCAATGGTTGGATCAGAAGTGTATTCATCGGAAGTAAAGAAGACTGAGGTTCTAATGGAGAATTTCCGTCGAGCTATTGGCCTCCGTATTAAAGAAAACAAAGAGGTTTACGAGGGAGAGGTGAGCTACTCCATTATGAGAAATATTGTTAAAAAAAACAGTAAACGTACAATTTTGTGTATGGAAATGATATATTATTTTGTTTTCCAATTTTGAAATCAGTTTGAGCTACTTATGTTACAGGTTACTGAACTCTCCCCAGAAGAAACTGAGAGTGTGACTGGTGGATATGGTAAAAGTATAAGCCATGTCATAATTGGGCTGAAAACTGTGAAAGGAACAAAGCAACTGAAGTTGGACCCAACAATTTATGATGCCTTGATAAAGGAAAAGGTGAACTTTTTATATCAAGCCCAACAATATGTGATCCATTCCAACTACATTTTCTTTGTCATTATAAACTGATTTGTGATATATTGCATGGACGATTTACCTGTTCTTAGTAGATCTTTTTGCATGTCTATTTGTGTTGTTGAGTTTAATTTATCAAGAAATGCAGGTAGCTGTTGGTGATGTTATATACATTGAAGCAAATAGTGGAGCAGTGAAAAGGGTGGGAAGGAGTGATGCTTTTGCTACTGAGTTTGATCTCGAGGCAGAAGAATATGTACCACTTCCTAAAGGAGAGGTTCACAAAAAGAAGGAGATTGTCCAGGTTTGTGCCTAGGCTTTGCAAAAATATGCATTGGGTAGTCAAACTCTAAAAACTGTATGATTTAGCTCAACTGAGTTCGTTTTGTTTATGGGCGATGAAAATGGCCCTCAGGCTATATATACCTCTGTTTAACATATTTATTTGAACATTGTGCTTTTAAAGAAAATCGTTTTAAATGTATGCAGAGCAATATCTTAAGTGTGTCAGTTGAAATTTGATTCGTAAGTTTTAAATATCACCCTTTCGAAGCACTTGGTTATTGGGTTTCTTTTTTATTAGAGCATGCTTGGATACAAGATTTCTAAAAATTATCCAGTCACTTTCTTTTAACTCAAATTTAACTCAACCCTATTATCCCATTATCCTCAATGTTATCAATATAATTAAATAATATCAATCAATTATTCTTACACATTTTAATTCACCATTCATCACTCACATAATTTTAATTATCCATATCTTCACATCTTCTATTTCCTACTTTTACATTAAATCAATTTTAATTACTTTATGTTAGATATAATTTTAATATATAAACTCATAATTCCTCTAACAACTAATCATACCACCTTTTTTTCAATAATAACCAAACAAGACAGAAAAAATCTTATATCCAAGCATCCCTTTAGTATCTTGCTTTTCTGCTCTTGTGGTCAATTCGTTGTGAATAATCGTGTTTTTTTGGACTGGTTGTGGGTTCTTGTATGAACTTTTGGATATGCATTCTGGTTTTTCTCCTTTTCTAATGTTGAATGTCTATATTGTTTAGGATGTTACATTGCATGATCTTGATGCTGCAAATGCACGGCCTCAAGGAGGGCAAGATATACTCTCCCTCATGGGTCAGATGATGAAACCCAGAAAAACTGAAATCACTGACAAGCTTCGGCAAGAGATAAATAAGGTTTCTTGTGTACATTAATGGCAAAAATGCATTTTTAGTGTTGTTGGTTTAACACCATAGCAATTTTGTTCCGAAGGTTCTCATTTTTCGCATTTTGGTCCTATAATTTGGTATTTTGATGCAATTTCAGTCCTTGAGGATTGAAATTGCAATAAATTTAATTTATAGATTTTTATTAGCAATTTAGGTCCTATAATTTAAAATTTTGTTGCAATTTCAGTCCTGTAATTTAAAATTTTGTTACAGCAAAATATTAAATCACACGACCAAAAGGCGAATTGTTAGAATTTAGGACTAAAAATGCTATAGCGTTAAATCAACATGACTAAAAATGCAATTTAGCCGTACTTTTATTGTATTCACACGTCATCCCCAATATTGAGTATGATCTCCTCTTGGAATTATTTAGGAAAATTTGGTCTCATACAGTTAAACAAATTGCAGGTGGTGAATCGGTACATAGATGAAGGTGTGGCTGAACTCGTTCCAGGCGTATTGTTTATCGATGAGGTTTGTTATTCTCTTTTAAATGAATGTAAATTTTCATCCTTAACTGCATGTGTGCATTTTTTATTTTTATTTCTTTCCTTACACTAAAAGGATAATTCAGGTGCACATGCTGGATATGGAGTGCTTTTCTTATTTGAATCGTGCTTTAGAAAGTTCTCTATCTCCCATCGTCATTTTCGCCACGAATCGAGGAATTTGTAATGTCAGGTAAAATTTTTTGGTTCACCGGTGCCTTTTGCCAGACATTACAAAAGTATAAATTACTATTATAAGAAGATTATGCATACATTAAGCGAAAAAAAAAAAAAAAATGATTGTCTTGCAGAGGAACAGATATGACTAGTCCTCATGGTATACCTGTTGACTTGTTGGACCGTTTGGTTATTATAAGAACCGAAACATATGGCCCGGCTGAAATGATACAGGTTAGTTATCAAGTGAAGTTTTGAAATATGCAATTGTTTCTTTTTTATTTCCTCACGAAAAATTATTTTTCATTTTTTGGTCAGATTTTAGCTATCCGAGCACAGGTAGAGGAACTCAGCATAGACGAGGAAAGTCTGGCTTATCTTGGAGAGATTGGACAGCAAGCATCTTTGAGGTTATCTCTCTCTCTCTCTCTCTCTCTCTCTCTCTCTCTCTCTCTCTCTCTCTCTCTCTCTCTCTCTCTCTCTCTCTCTCTCTCTTCATTAACAGATTTATTACAAAAGATACCTTCAAGACAAAAAATGTAAGAAGCAACTGCATGACAATTGATTCTATGTTGGACAATAGAACCTTCTGTGAAGAGGTGATAATAAAAATCTTGAGGAAACCTTTGACAAATAAGCTATATGTTTCGATTTCGGCTGGACCTTGATGGTCAATTTTGTGTTTTACCCCTGTTTAATTGGTAATCTGATTCGTGATTTTTCCCTCAGGCATGCTGTTCAGCTGTTATCCCCTGCTAGCATAGTTGCTAAAATGAACGGCCGTGATAGTATTTGCAAGGTAAAGACCATATTCTGAATATTGATATTTGCAAGCATATAACATAAAAGATTATTAGGAGTAAAAAGCTTAAATAATATTTTTTATTTTTATATTTTGCAGGCGGATCTTGAAGAAGTGAGTTCTCTCTATCTCGATGCCAAATCATCTGCAAAGCTTCTTCAAGAACAGCAAGATAGATACATATCATAGACACAGAAAATTCGGCTCGGCTCGAACAATATTCCAGTTGATCGATCCCCTGAGATGTGAACAGTCGAGTGTTGAATCTTTCGTTTTCCTAAAGGATTGTGTGATGCAACGGGTAAGATTCGCTGTCTCGAGTATCTGTGTACCGTTCGTGTATTTTCATGTTCGCGGTTTTTGACATTTGTGGCTCTTTTTTGGCGTAAGGCACATTATTAGGGTGTTGATTATTTTATGAACTATGAAACTTTTTTGTAGCCTCAGGCACATTATTAGGGTGTTGATTATTGTATGATTTTTTGGGGGTTTTCAATCTTTTTTGATGAACTCACTGAGATTGCAAAATTTTAGAGCTTACTTTGCAGTATTTATTGTTTATGGTGAGAAATATTTTGATTTTTTTTTCTTGGAATTGAGATTAAGTGTATAAATTTTGATACAAGTTTTATCATGTTTTTGTTTCGGTTTCAGTTCAATCTACGGTTGTATTCAATCTTTTTTTTT